ACCGCAGAGGAAGGGGGCGTGGCCAGAGGGCTCCCCGCCTCAGCGGTCCGACCGCCCGGCCCCGGAAATGCGGAAGAGAAGCCGGCGCTGAGCCCGCGCTGCCGCCGCCTCCTCCGCCGTGCCGGCGTCTGGACGCACCGGAAGTGGCGGGGGGGGGGTGGGGAGGGGAGGCGGGGGGGGGGAGCGGCTAGCGCGGTACGCCCAGGGCTTTCGGGCGGGGGTCGCCCCTGGTTGGCGCCGGCGTTGGCGGAAGGCTGGGCAGGTGGCGTAGGAGGTGGCAGCCTCCCTGCTCCCCAGTCCTGCAGTCCGCACTGCCCGGGCTGAAAGGCCTCGGCCCGCACCCGGGTCTGGAGCCGGAGGCCGGGAGACCCTGGAATCTCGACCTGGCGGCCTTGACCAGTGTCTGCCCTTTGCAGGCCTCGGGAAACACCTGGACCCGACGGTGGCTTGCCGACTGGTCGGAGGTCCCAGGCGGCCTTTGCTGCACCATCAAGCTGTTCATCCGGCCACTTAACAGTTTCATTCATAGAGTGAATCGTTATGGTCTGCCCCCTGACTCCTGGACGTGCTGTGCACATTTTTTGCTTTCTAGAAGCAGAGTATGGGCTTAGCATGGGCTTCCGAGTTGGACAGCCCAAAGGGTGTTGGCAAAAGTACCGTTGTTAACTATCTTAGTACCTGCTGTGTAGTAAGTGATCAAAAAGCGCTAGCTGTTCTCAGATTCCCACACCTCTTAACAAAAAGTGCAACACGAAGTGTCTGCCTAGTTAAACTATTAATATTTACCTATTTCTCAAAGTAGTTTTGTGTCGAGCATGCTTAAGACCTCAGTAAGTGCTTCCCTTTTTTAGGAGTCTTTTTAGCCTTTTGCCTTTGGGGATCCTTTGTTCATCTGAGTTCTTCACTATTACTGTAAATTAAGTGGAAATTTAAACTAGCTGAAGTTTGCAAATATGGACGTTGAGACCCGAGCACATAAAATGACCACAGACGACAGAAATTGAAAAAGTTGGGAGTCTGTACAAAAACCCAGGTCTTGTGTTCCCTAAATCTAGTTTAATTTCCTCTCAATCACAGCACTTTCTAATGAGAGTTTTGCCCAATACCATTCATTGGTAGCCCACTCATACTTGTACTTTGAATGAAATCTTTGATCTCATTGGATCATTTTACATTTCTAGGCAGCTTGGATTGATTAGGAGAAAGTCCATTGCTCCAGCAAATGGAAGCCTAGGAAGAAGCAAATCCAGTGAGTAGTATGTTTAGTTTTTTAAGTGGCTTTGGGGCCAGTAGGTGGCATGGTGGTTAAGGCCCTGAACTCCCACATGGCCGACTGCAGTTCAAGTCCTGGACTTGGCAGCTTACTTTCTCACTTTCTTTATCTCAGTCTCTCTCTGTCTCTAGTGTGTGCATGTGCCCTATAGCAAATTAATAATAATAAAAAGTGAAATTCAATAAAAAATTCTTTTTTAAAAAACGTTTAGATTAGTTTTCATTTTTCAGTACCGGTAAAGCATAAGAACATTCTGATCTTTTGCAGAGCAGTTGTTTAACTATTTAATTGTCATTGATTTTGAATCGACATGCTGGAATGATGGGAAGCACCACCGTACCCAGGAAATAAGTAAGTCTGCACTGCCAATGGCCGAAGCTAGTAGCAGATGAGTCACTTTAAAGTTTTAGATAGAAACTAGTCACCAGTTAACAAACACAAAACCATGAATTTTACATAAACTGACATGACAAAAGAAGAATAAAATTCCAAATATCCAAATGTCATTGTATAAAAAAATCATTTTAGGGTTACATACAAAACCTCAGTGATATAGAGACAAATATATATACCTTTGCAAAAAAGGTATACATTTCAGTTTCTGTGTGTTCTTCATATTAAATCACGGGACTATATCATGTTTTCTTTTAAGTAACTATACTCGTAACTTCACTCATTTGATTTATTCTTTGCCCTGTTTATTACAACCTTTATATCACTGCTTTGGTCATTTTAACATGCTTTTACTAAAACTGGTTGTGGAATAATGCTGTTATGAAGGTAATAAGTTTAATTTTTGGTGATATATTCGAGTGTCAAGTGACGATTATTTTCATTTAGTTGAATTTCCAGCAGTATTGCTGAACACATCAACTGGAGAGATAGAATCTGAGTTTCATTCTTACGTGCAGCCTCAGGAACATCCAATTCTTTCTGAATTTTGCATGGAACTGACAGGCATAAAACAGGTATGATACATATTTTAAAAGTCAGAAGTTAATTTCAAGAAAGATAATAAAAGCTACATACCATTTAGAATTAGATTTATTGAGTATTAGGAGAGATGTCTTCTCCCAGGAGCCCATTTGGAGCTCCAGAAAATTAAAATAGTGACATAAAAATGAATATCAAATTTATTTTATGGCAGTAAAGTGACTCAGATTATTTTTCTGTCAGTCTAGATGTAATCATTATATTTCTATGTAAGTTAGGTTTATCAGCCTAAGTTCTAATCATTATATTTGTTATTTCCTCCATGTGTTTTAATATCTTTTCACTAAATAAACTTTTTGTCAGTCAGAACGTCTTTTTTATAACACCTCCCCACAATGGTGCCTAGACTACTGTAACACTTGGTCAATAATTATGGAATCTAGTTGTTGAGTTAGGGCTCTGTGACTCCCTATTCAGACTCAAGTTGATGAAGGAGCCCCTCTGAAGATTTGCTTATCTCAATTCTGTAAATGGATTCATAAGATTCAACAAGAGAAGAAAATTACTTTTGCTGCTGCAATTCCAGAGCTGCCTTCTTCTGAAGTAAAATTATGTGCATTTGTTACCTGGTCAGGTAAGAAATAAATTATGTCTGTCTATCACTAACAGGTAGCATCACCATTATGTAATTATAGCCTTACACTTGTTAACCTAGAATTGGACTTGTTAACTTTCTGGGCTCGGAAAAGAAATATATGTGCCTACCAGAATTTAATTAAGAAAAAAAAAATCATTGATGTTTTAAAATTATCATTTCAGAGGAACCAGCAGATGGTAAAATGATTACATTACTGGACTCCCATGTAGTTGACCATGGTTTGAGCCCCAGACCCGGTGGCTTGAAACTTACACTGGACAACATGTGCATGCATGTCCAAAATCCTGAGAGGAGAAAAGGGGAAAAGGAATTATGACGTGGCCATCCTCCCTGGGGGGTGATTTCTTGCTTTCTGTGTCTCCGGTGAGCACACACACCCTATAGCAAAAATCTCTCTTAAAAAATAAAAAAACTATCATTTTGGGATACTTTACAATTTAAGCCTTACCTTTAAGAATTTTTTCATGTGCTCCCCTTCATTCTCCTCACTCCAGGCAAAGGTGAGTTAGTGAAAATGCTTATGCTATTTTATTTTTTTTTTTTCCCAGAGAGATTATTTTTTGCTATAGAGCCAGAAAGACAGAGACAGACAGAAAACGAGAAATCACCCCCTCCCAGGGGGCATGGCCACATCACAGTCCCTTCTCCATTCTCCGCTCAGGATCTTAGGCACACCTACACAGGCACCTGGTGTGAGTTTTAAGCCACTGGGTCTGGAACTCTAACTGCGTTCAACTACCTGAGAGTCCAGCAACGTAACCCTTATGCCATCTGCTTATCCCCTCTTATGCTATTTTCTACAGCCTTGAATAAAGAGTTTCATTGTGGGACCAGCAGATGGCATAATGGTTACATCACTGGATTCTCAGGTAGTCGACTATAGTTCAAGTCCTAGAACCAGCAGCTTACACTGGACACGTGTATGTACATGCCCAAAATCCCAAGAGGTGACTGGAAGAGAAGGGATTGCAGTCTGGCCATCCCCCCAGGAGATGATTTCTCACTGTCTCTCTGGTGAGCAAATGCACCCTATAACAAAAATCTCTCAAAAAAAAAAGAAAGAAAGAAAGAAAAGTAAGGGCCTGGCAGGTGGTATGGTGGTTAAGGGAGCTGGACTCCCACATTGCTGAACTTGGTTCAAGTCTTAGACCTTGTGGCTTACTTTCTCACTTTCTCTCTCTCTCTCCCCCACTCCCCTCGGTCAAATTAAAATAAATAATAAATAAGTAAAGTTAAATAAATAATTCTTTTTTTATAAAAGTAATACTCTTCGATAGCATAGCAGTGATGGTCATCTTTGGGGGTTATTATTATTTAATTTTATTTATTATTATTTTTTGTTTTAATTTGTTACAGGGTACGTGCACTCACCAGAGAGAAGAGAGAGTGAGAAAGCGAGCCGTCAGGCCCGGGACTTGAACCACAGTCAGCCATGTGAGAGTACAACATCCCAACCACCATGTCACATGCTGGCCCACTAAGTCATATTTTAAGTTGCTATAAAGTTTTTGGTTTCTCAGGAATATTAATAATACCCTAGAATATATGAAATATGGGTCTTTTTTTTTTTAACACCAGAGGGTGCACATATACGACAGAGAGAGAGAGAAAGCACCTTCTCCCCTCCCTTCCCCTCCCCTCCCACTCCCCACAACGAGGCCTAGTCACACCATAATCTTTTTCCCTCTTGTTCTCCCTCAGGATCCTGGGCATGCACACACATACACCTGGCATATTTTTCAAACCCCTGGGCTAGGATTCAAACTACAGTTGGCCATATGGTATTTGGATCACAATGCACAGCAATTAACCTCTTTGCTCCAGGACCAACCAAAGCCTTATAATTGAACATCTTTCTCCTTTTTCTGAAATAGAGTTTTATTGTGCATTTCAGAAATCACTCTTAAACTTTATCACCAGCTTGATTTCTTAATCCTACATATAGGATTTAGATTTTTCATTTCTTAATCCTTTATATTATTCACTAATAATATAAAGCAAATAGTTTTAAGTAGCAAAGCAATTAAATCTTACAGTTCTGTTTTGTGTAATTGTGCAATATTTTATTTGTAAATGGTGACCGCATAAGTAAAAAAGGCTTACCTCGTTGACTTTGTTCTATTTTAATGCACTTACTGCAGATTGGGACTTGGGGGTTTGCCTGGAGTATGAATGCAAAAGAAAACAGCTGTCAAAACCTGTGTTTTTAAATTGTTGGATTGATCTCAGATCAACATACAAGGTAAAGGTCAAAGATGATGACATAAGTATTTAAAGACAATACAACAAGAATATTACTAATCTAATAGAACTAAAGATTATGAAATATGTTTAATATACAGCCTTTGGAATTATAATGATTTTTTTAAAGATATGTCTTCTTTTATTTGAGTAGCTCTTCTACAGGAGAAAACCAAAAGGACTAAGTGGTGCTTTGCAGGAAGTAGGAATAGAATTCTCAGGACGAGAACATTCTGGTTAGTATAAATTGAAAATAATTTTATTATATGTGTCCTCTGAATTTTATAAAATCTTTCATAGAGGTCTCAGTTTTGGGTGATTTCATTAATACATATTATCATTCAGCCTGAAAACAGCTCCTAACAATGCAAATTATTTCTCACTTTGAAAGGACTACTTTCATACACTATTAGATGATAAAGACTGCCATCTAGTGATGCTCTTTTGCTAAAAAGAATAAATACCGTGAACTCGGAAAAATGAGTAAAACTGTAGATTACTTACAAATCATGGTCTATACAGAATTGCTGGTCACATTTTGGGAACTGCCTGACAGTTTCACATTCTTCTTTTTGAGTTTGGGAGATCTTGCCTTTCATTGATAATGTTACTACAGCTTTCCACAAGATCAGTGTATCATCTTTTTTTTTCCCAAAGATTTATTTATTTATTCATTCATTCCTTCATTTTAATTTGACCAGAGAGAGACACAGAGAAAGAGGAAATTGAGAAAGTAAGCCACAAGGTCCAGGACTTGAACTGTGGTCGGCCATGTGGGAGTGTTCAGCGCCTTAACCACCATGCCACCTGCTGGTCCCTAGACCAGTGTATCATCTTTAAAACTAGTAGATGGTCATAAAACTACCAGTATGCTCCAGTTTTTATTTGAGCGGTAAACTTTGTTGTTGTTGTTATTCCCACGTGGCTGACTGCAGTTCGAGTCCCAGACCTGATGACTTGCTTTCTCACTTTCCATTTCTCTCTCTCTACCCCTCTCTGGTCAAATTAAAAAATAATAATAAATGAAATAAAATAAATACATAAAGTATTTAAAAATTTAAAAAAGAAATTATTTTATTTAACTTTATTTATTTTAATTTGACCAGAGAGGGACAGAGAGAGAGAGAGAGGGAAAGTGAGAAAACAAGCCACCAGGTCTGGGGCTTGAACTGCAGTCGGCCATGTGGGAGTCCAGCACCCTTAACCACCACACCATCTACTGGCCCCAGTGCCACTGAATTTAAATTCAGTATTTTTTTTTTTTATTGGAAAGGTTTTTGCTATAGAGCACATGCACTCACCAGAAAGACAGAGACAGAGAGACAGAAAGCAAAAATTCACCCCCCGGGGGGATACCCACGCCACAATCCCTTCTCCTCCATTCTCCTCTTGGGATCTTGAACATGCACGTACACATGCCCACATAAGTTTAAGCCACCAGGTTCAGGACTCGAACTGCGGCTGACTACATGGGAGTCCAGTGACATAGCCATTATGCTATCTGCTGTTCCCATATTCAGTAGTTTTTAATTTGTTTCGTCAGGGTTGGATGATTCTCGGAATACTGCCCTTCTTGCTTGGAAAATGATCAGGGATGGTTGCCAATTGAAAATTACAAGATCCTTGAACAAGGTTAGTGGTGTCTTATTTTATTCTGTCATCTTTAAGTCTAGAAGTAGAACCTATAACTGCTTTTGTTCGGGGTGTTTTTGCTGTTGTTGTTGTTTTTGCCATAGTGCGTGTGCAGTCACTTTCCCAGAGAGAGGGAAAGTGAGAAATCACTTCCCAGGGGGAATGGCCATGCCACAATCTCTTCTCCTCCATTCTCCTCCTGGGATTTTAGGTATAGATGCATTGATAATGCATTCTTAAGAAATTATGAATGTACACTTTCTAAAGCTGTTGGATTTGTCTGTGGAACCAGGTACCCACTAAGAAGAATCCCAACATTCTGGCCAGAAATTTGAACACGAAGCAAGCCGAAGAAACGTCTGTCCACAGCATCCAGAGTCCTAGTATATGCGATGTGGAGCTGAAAAACACAATAGATTCCCATGAAAAAGTTCAAGGAAGGTCAGTTGATGTGACTGCTCCTATAAAGGCACAGCAGGACCAGTTACAACTGCAGAGCAATGTGAAAGCAGGCCTTCACAATGTCAAACATTGCTCATATCTTCTTAATACTAAGCCTTCTCCTTGCCCGGGGCAGTTGCAGTCTCCCACCTTGAATTCACCTATCTGTATGCAGGAACAAAGAAAGAATGAACATCTTGCATTTAATACCAAATCTAAGTCTTCAATGATTGGTTCAGAACTGGTACTTGTTTCCACCACCGTTTCATCTGTTAATCATGTTTCTGATACGGAAATGAGTTCTGCTCTTGACTGTTTGCCTATGTTGGCTGATTGGGAGGATTTAGTTTTGCTCCCAGCATCTCAGCCTGAGCAAAATATAGATTATGTACATCCCATTAGTAGCTCAAACGTAGATGCTTCATTTAATTCTAGAGAAAGTCTAATGGTTTTAAAAGAATCAGAAATGCTAAATGTCAAAGACTCTGGAAGCATCGAGAAAACTCCTCAAAGATCCGAGACTCCCAAGTCCATTGTGTACAAGAGCCCTCATACTACTATTTATAACATAAGAGAAGCCAAAGAACCAGGTTCAGATGTTTCCGCCTTTAAGTTACCTGAACAAAAATCAAGTGCCTTCAACAATATTAATGCCAATGTGTGTCATCCTTCTGTTTTGAGGAAACATCCTTTTCTTTTAGGTGGTGCTAAAAGGAATTCATCCAGTCCCACAACTCTTCCACCAGCTAAAAAGCAGACCTTTACTATTCATGAAGAAAAGCCGGCATCATCTGATTGCTCCCGAGTAAGAAGCTCTCCCCAGAAGGTTCTCCCCTCGGTACTAACTTCTACAGTTAACCTACAAGAGCCTTGGAAGAGTGGGAAAATGACACCTCCCTTATGCAAGTGTGGTCGAAGATCTAAGAGACTTGTTGTTTCTAATAATGGACCAAACCATGGAAAAGTCTTCTACTGTTGCCCTATTGGAAAATACCAAGAAAACAGAAAATGTTGTGGTTATTTCAAATGGGAACAAACACTTCAAAAGGAGCGCGCCAACAGCACAGTCCTGTCTCACTGTACAGGGAGACCCACTTCTGCTTCTCCAGAAACAAGCCCTATTCTTGACAGAACTTTAAGTTTTCCTAGTAAAAACTGTTTGAAACTCAGACCTTCAATGAGGAATTGATAAACTTTATTTATATATAAACTATGTTGTTACTAGTAACTTTTCGCTTACGAAAGATAATGCGGGGCTTCTACGGACTGAGAGACCATATCTAGCTCTGTATTAGACACACACACACACACACACACACACACACACACACACACACACACACACACACACACACACACACACACACACACACACACACACACACACACACACACACACACACACACACACACACACACACACACACACACACACACACACACACACACACACACACACACACACACACACACACATACATACACATATACACATATATGCATGAGCTGAAAAGAGAAAAGATACATTTCAGGACTTTACACTTTGATTCACCAATTCTCTAGCATATGTCCTCTTTGTGTTCACCTATGAATTCCCAAACACGAGTATTTTGGAGTCTTAAGCTATTTTAGTTATAGTTCATATATTAATGTTTGCTGAATTTAACATACTTTCTTGAAGAACCACAAGTGAAATATTTTATAAACCATGTTTATTAGTTTAAATATAATAAGCAATATCTTACTTTTATAGTTAGACCTTAAAACAAATTTTAAACTATTTTTAAGTTACTTGAATTAAAATATGACTAATGAAAATTCCCACCTGGCTTCAGGTAGACACTTGTACTTGGAGAATTATGATAATCTTCTACCTGATATTTTTTATTTTTGTAAAAATTTTTGTAAGTTGTTTAGTGTTATTTCAAGGCTTGAAGATTGGTTCTGACTTGAATATCAGTACATTCAGAGAATTACTCAGCGAAGGTTTGAAAACCAGGGGAAGGGGGCAGAGATTTGGTGCAGAAACTTTCTGTACCTTCTGTTAAAAAATTCCTCAACAATGAACAATCGAGGTCATCTTTCTATATTAACAAATTATAGGAACACTGACACTAATGCAGAGGAATTTACCAAATAGTTTTATGTCAAAACTCAGCCTCCATTGTAATAAGCACAAGATACTTCAAATCAATAGTTTGTAAGTATGATACCACATTTTTAAATCATAATTCTTATTTCTACAGACATAGGTACCATATTTTACAGAGACCGTATTTGTTAGATACCATCATGATTAGTGGAATGAACTTAAATTGTTTTCCATTCTTTTTTACTCAGTTTATTTATTTTTATCTTCATATTGGTAATCTTTGGAAACTCTTGAATAAATTCTAGTTGATATCAAGGTAAAGAAAATGAACCTGGAGATTTTCATCTTTAAATAAGCCAAATAAGATAGTTCTATGTGGAAGAATTAGGACACCTCTTGGGGGTGAGTTTCAGTTAGAGCCAAAAAAAGATGAGGGGTATTGTTGCCATTCTTCTTGATATTCCGTATTTATAACATGGCCAAACAAATTAGGCTAAGGGTTCATTTTAAACTCAAAAGATTCTGATTCTTATCTACTTGTTATTAATTCAGTTTGAGAAAAATATTCATTTAGAAGGAAAAAATAAACAGCTGAAATTTTCAAGAATACTGACCAAGTGTTCATCATTAGGACATCTGCCTTTCTGGGATATTTGTAAGATGCTGTGATTGATTTTATATGCTCCTGAATCTCCTTTTTCGGTCATTCTTGATCATGTGTCTTATAACATGATCAGGGTTCAGAACAATAAAGCCTTTGCTACCTAAAATAAAATATTGAAACACCAGGAAGTTGAGTTGTGTCTTTTCATGTTTTAGTACATCTTGTTTGCTTTCTCCAACTGAAATCTAATTTACTGATGAGGTAGGCCAGAGAGTTTAATAGAGTTTGATCCCATCTTTGTGCTCTTAAACCTGCCAGTGGACTCCCACATCTCCTATTCTGTACCCACATAAGAGAACTTTTGCTTTGTTTATGATCTACTCTTTTTTTTTTGGAGAGGTTTTTGCTATAAGGTGCGCACACTCGCCAGAGAGACAGAGAAAGTGAGAAATCATCCCCCAGGAGGGATAGCCACTACACCATCCCT